TAAGAAAAGAGAATGTACATATCCTTGGACACGAGAACAACAAGCTAAGGGTTCAGATTATAAATTTTATTGAGTTATATTGATCTTTGTTATTTTTAAGATTTTTTTCGTGTGTCACATTTTTGAGAATTAATTGAGTATGATGGGGTTAGATCGATCGCCGAATAAGAGAGTCGGAAGTGCCTCAAATTCTTTGTGTTCTATATGTCAAGTTGACATTAGTTCAGCAGACGTATATACAACGACATGTCAGCACGAATTCCACAGAGTATGTATTGAAGCTCATTGGAAGAACAGTGAGAAGTGTCCAGTTTGCGAATCGGCATGTAGAGCCACAGTCTCTAAAACTGCCGAAAAAGCAGCTCGAGAAACTCGAAGTCGAGCTAAAGCTACTCAGCCGGTTAATAATCCATTAGATGAGGGACCTTCTACTTCAATACGAAGTTCTAGCAATAATAGTAATACAAATTCAAGTGTTATCACAGCCAACGCAGTCACTTTGTTAGCCATGGAGCGGAGGATGTTAGCCACTCTCTCCGAGAAGATGTCTGAATTGATACAGAATGCTTTCTCGGAAAGTGTGAATCGAGTGACGGTTACTCCAAGCCCAGCTCAGCCCCAGCTCCAAGATCAGGTGCCAAGAGTTTTTGATAGAGTCGAAACTCCACGCTCTCCTGCTTCCCAAAGCATGGTTTCATCTGAATTACTAACGCGGCCAGATAAAGTTGTTCATATTCTCAATGGCTGGAAAATTAAATTTTCTGGAGAAAGTATGTCTGTTGACAATTTTATTTATAGGGTCGAAGCCCTCACAAGGCAAATGCTGGACGGAAACTTTACCGTGTTGTGTAAGAACTGCAGTGTTCTATTCGAAGGCAAAGCCAACGAGTTTTATTGGCGGTACCATAAGGCGTACGGTGAAATCTCTTGGGAGGATTTTTGTGCAGCCTTACGACTTCAATTTAGACACAGTAGAGATGATAATGACATAGAGGAATTAATTAGAATGACCAAACAGAAACCAAATGAATCCTTCGATAGCTTCTACGACACCATATCAGGACTAATTGATCAGTTAGAACAGCCCTGGGTGTCAAGTAAACTTGTCCGAGTACTTAAAAGTAATCTTCGTCCTGAAATTCGGCATGAAATCCTGAATCTGGAAATAAAAACGGTGTCCGAATTAAGGGAGATTTGTAGGCGTCGCGAAGCATTTCTCGCTGATGTCAAGAGATGTAGTGGGTACACTAAGGTTGTTCCTTTTAGGCGTGAAGTAGCTGAATTTGGAGACGAAATGGTAGATCCCCAAGAATCAGAACCTGAGGGTGAGGCAGAAATCGAAGCCTTTTCCTTAAAATGCTGGAACTGCCAAAGCGAAGGACATAGGTATCAGGATTGTCTCTCAGAAAGACGTGTGTTTTGTTACGGATGCGGTGCGGCTAACACGTACAAGCCAAGTTGCAGTAAATGTACAAAAAACTTCAAGCAAGGCATATCGAAGTCGCAATACAAACCGAAGACTTCATATGCCAGTCGAAATCAGTCCACAATGACCGACCAATAGAGGACACTCTTCAGAGTGTATCTCTCTCTTCCCCTGACGAACAAATAGTCCCAGATAGCTCTCTGCTTCACAGCAAAATTTCAAAGTTAAGGGACGTCGCAATCCATGAAGTACAAAAGATAGCTAACGTAGCTAAACGGAATTCTCGAAGGTTAAAGGCGTTTTGGAAAAATGTGAAAAGATGCAAAGACAGTTTGAAACTCATCAATTCCATACCTGCAGGTTCTAGAGATCCACGACCGTTTCTACCGGTTCGATTGCTCGATCGCGTTGTATACGGTTTGTTAGATTCGGGAGCTTCGATTAGTTGCCTAGGAGGAGAATTAGCTAAGGAAGTGATAAAGAATAAGGAATACCGAGCCATAAAAGGCAGCGCTGCGACAGCAGACGGGAAATCCCAAAATATAGTAGGAGTTCTTAACATTGACGTAGAATACGGCAATGATAAGAAGCCTTTAAAACTTTATGTAGTACCTTCACTTAAACAAGAATTATATCTTGGCATAGACTTTTGGAAGTTATACGATCTTCTTCCAACACATTTAAAAATATCGGAGATAGAATCGGCTAAGGTAGTCCGCCCAGACGAGGTGGATCAACACGATTTGTCGGAAGTCGAAAAAACTAAATTGGCAAATACCATAAATTGTTTTCCTTCGTTTACTCAGGAAGGATTAGGCAGGACAAATTTGATAACTCACACTATTGATGTAGGAATGGCGAAGCCCATCAAACAGCGGCATTTCCCTGTATCTCCAGCAGTTGAAAAGGCAATGTATACTGAAATTGACAGAATGTTGCAATTGGGAGTGATAGAGGAATCAGAGAGTGCATGGTCCTCTCCAATCGTAATGGTTACTAAACCAGGGAAAGTCAGAATATGCTTAGATTGCCGGAAAGTCAATAGTTTCACGGAAAAGGACGCGTATCCTCTTCCCCAAATAAATGGAATTTTGAGCCGATTACCAAAAGCAGAATTTATAACTAGCTTGGACTTAAAGGATGCTTATTGGCAAGTGCCTTTAGATGTTCAGTCGCGCGATAAGACTGCGTTCACGGTACCAGGTAGACCGTTATACCAATTTAAAGTAATGCCGTTTGGTTTATGCAATGCTACGAGCACCATGTCTCGTTTAATGGACAAGGTAGTGCCAGCTCACATGAGGAACGAAGTTTTTATATATTTAGATGATCTGCTAATAGTATCTGCAAGTTTTGACAATCACCTCGAAGTTCTCAGGGAGTTAGCATTGCACATTAGGCGTGCAGGTTTGACAATCAACATTGGCAAAAGTCACTTCTGCATGCGGAGAGTGCGTTATCTGGGTCACATAATAGGTGACGGCGGAATCCGTACAGACCCAGAAAAGGTGTCTGCGATTACCAACTTTCCTTTACCAAAAAGCTTAAAGAACTTGAGAAGCTTTATGGGGATGTGTGGATGGTATCGGAAATTCGTGCCAAATTTTGCGTCTCTATCTGCTCCTTTGACGGACTTGATGACGACAAAACGAAAGTTCAGCTTGACCGAAGAGGCTATAAGAGCGTTTGAGAGGCTTAAGCAGTGTCTTAGTGAAGCTCCTGTTTTATGCAGTCCAGACTTCGCGAAGCCGTTCGCTATACACTGTGATGCCAGCAAAACAGGCGTAGGAGCTGTATTAGTGCAGGTTTCAGACGAAGGCGACGAGAGACCGATTGCTTTTGTTTCTAAGAAATTAAATAAAGCTCAGAAAAACTACACAGTCACTGAACAAGAATGTTTAGCTGCTATCGTCGCTTTAAAGAATTTTAGAGCTTATGTGGAGGGTTTGAAATTCAAGATAATTACAGATCATGCTTCTTTAAAGTGGTTGATGTCGAACCACGATTTAAGTTCCCGATTAGCTCGGTGGTCGTTAGCGTTACAAAGATACGTTTTCGAGATCGAGCATCGCAAGGGTTCACTGAACGTTGTCCCCGACGTTTTGTCTCGTGTAAACGAAGAGGCAGTTGCTGCCATAGATTTGACGGAAGGACTTATTATTGATCTGAACTCCGAATCATTTAAAACAGAGGAGTATAAGAATTTGATAAAGAATGTAGAAGAAAATAAACGAAATTTCCCGGATCTTAAAGTGGAAGACGGTTATTTGTATCGTAAAGCGGAACACTTAACCGGAGAACAGATGCATGACGAATACGCATGGAAGCTTTGGTTACCAAAGGAATTAGTGCCCAAAGTTCTTTCTCTAGCTCATGATAGCTCCTTGGCCTCACATGGAGGCGTACACAAAACTATCGAGAGGATCAGGCGATACTATTTCTGGCCTGGTCTCGTTTCAGACGTAAGAGCCTATATAAGCGCTTGTGAGGTTTGCAAATGCACGAAAGCACCGAATTGTGTTCTCAGACCTCCTTTGGGAAGAGCACCGGAGACTCAGCGGTTCTTTCAAAGACTTTTCGTTGATTTTCTCGGGCCTTATCCCAGATCGCGAAGTGGAAACGTCGGCATTTTTATCGTCCTTGACCATTTCTCAAAGTTTGTTTTCCTTAAACCTGTGAGGAAAATTGATTCTAGCGCAATTGTGAAGTATCTAGATAGTGAACTGTTTATGACTTTTGGAGTCCCTGAAACAATGGTGTCAGATAACGGGTCCCAATTTCGTTCGAAAGCATTTCAAGGATTAATGCAGGAATATAGCATTAATCATATTCTGACTGCTGTTTATTCACCTCAGGCTAACGCCTCGGAGCGTGTAAATAGATCGGTCATATCCGCGATTAGAGCGTATATACGCCCAGATCAGAAGGATTGGGATGAAGTTCTGAACAGGATATCCTGCGCGTTGAGGTCTTCCATACACTCCAGCCTTGGAACAAGTCCGTACTACATGGCTTTTGGACAGCATATGGTTACCTCTGGTTCGACCTATTCTCTGCTCCGACGTTTAAATCTTTTGAACGATCGTTCTCTACGATTTGACAGGCAGGATTCTTTCGAAATAATTCGCAAACAAGCATGCGAGCAAATGTATAGAAAGCACGAGGAGAACAAGAAACGCTATGATCTCCGTACTCGAAATGTCACGTATACTGAAGGTCAAGAGGTATATCGACGTAATTTTAAGCAAAGCTGCTTTCAAACGGGATATAACGCCAAATTCGGTCCAATGTTTGTAAAATCTCGGATTCGAAGGAAGATCGGTAACCTCTACTATGAACTGGAAGACCTTCAAGGAAAAGTTGTAGGTACATATCACGCTAAAGACATTCGGCAATAGCTTCAGTCGGAATCAGTCTAGGGCATTCTCTCTATTATACCCTAGTCTGATTTTAGCGGGGGGGTTTTGTACTGGCGACTGAAGCCTCCAAAATTTAATGGGAAAAAAAAAAAGAGAAAATGTTCATTTTGATTTGTTTATATTTGGCGCCAAAGGTTCTGAGCTTAGATTACCGATTAGGTAAACTAAGAGTTGCCATCTGATAAATAATCTTTTATCAGCTGTACCAGGTATGCACTGATAAATAATCTCTTATCAGCTGTACCAGGTATGCACTGGAAAGCTGCAATTAACTATCATGGCGTAAAATTTTGACTGACCTATGTTTCCGCTCTGGAATGTAAAGTTCTTTTCGATCAAACCTTCAGAGCAGAAACACCTGTCCAAGTAAGTTCCTTGCCTTGGCATGTGGGTGGCATTGGGTTAAATTCTTTTGGGTTATTTCTTTAAATTTACCCAGATTAACCTGCCAGATATATTCCGCCAACCCATTCCCGCGGAATTATAAGAAGGAAGAAAGGAAATTAGGAACCCTTTGGAGTTACTGGCCTTATCTAGGAGAACCCACCTCCACGTGGATCATCCATCGGCCCGGCATCCAGGCAGAGCAAGCCCTAAGCCGGCCCAGCGATCCGCAAGTGTCCCGCGGAGCGCTTCATTCATCCCCTCGAGGGATCGACAACTCCGCGGGCCAGCAATTTTTTTTGGATGTGAAAGTGGCAAAAAAGCCCTGTGACAAATGTGAAATTTAACCTAAAAGCCCCAATAAAACCATGTGCACACTGGAAAAAAAAATATAAGACAAAGACTATAATGGAAAATATAAAATAATAAAGATCAATGCAAGTGATATAAAAACATGAATATGAGAAAGGAAAAAATTGTGTATAAAAGCAAAAATTTAATTTTTTTTTGTTATATATAAATTTTGCGAGTGATATACACTGCAAATAAATGAAGTGGAAATTTGAATAAATAAACCTTAAAATATAAAGAAGCGAGAACAGTGCTAAAAAAATATTATAAAGGAAATAAATGAAAAGGTGAAAACAAAGACCTGAAAGAAAAATGGACAAAAAATAAATAGTTAAAAATGTTAAAATAAAGAATAAGTTAAAAATTATATAAATAAAGTCAAAATGTGAAAACGTGCGGCAAAAAGTTAGAAAGGCTCTTCAAAAATTTAAATTGTTATTTTTTCTTATTTTTTTGGTTTATTTTTCTTTTATTTTTGTTTTGGTTGAGCGTGGAAAAAAACCAGCCAGAGATCGAAGTGATAAGAGCATAAGTGCAAGAATGCACAGAAGAGTTTGGTTGTGTGAGTTCGGTTTGTAGAGCAAAGAATCGCTGAAAGAAAAGCTCTGATGTTTTACACAAAAAAATTAAATTGATTGCGTTTTAGAAGTGTCCCAAAATTATTGGGAAAAGCCCCAAAATTCTGTTTCCAGCACTCCAACGCCGGGAGATCGATCTTTCGTCGTGGGATATGCACGTGAGTTTGGTTTTTTTTCTAATTTTATTTTCAATTTCAACAACAAAATACCTGCATGCAATTATTATTTTTTGTTGTAATTTAAATACCTCTCATAAACGAATTTTGGTGGAATGGAAAGATGATAAAAGAATCAAAAAAAAACGGTTACATTCACAGAGAGCTTATCTTTTAGTTCGTGAGCTTTTGCTACACCGAGAGAAATTTTTGAACGAGTTTATTTAATTTAATATTATTTAAATAAAAATAATTAGAGATGAGCAGATGAGAATAAAAATATAAAAATATTAAAGCTAAAAGAAAATTTAGAATACACTGAGAGAAATTTTTGAACGAGTTTATTTAATTTAATATTATTTAAATAAAAATAATTTGAGATGAGCAGATGAGAATAAAAATACAAAAATATTATAGCTAAAAGAAAATTTGGAATACACCGAGAGAAATTTTTGAGCGAGTTTATTTTATTTAATAATATTTAAATAAAAATAATTAGAGATGATCAGATAAGAATGAAAATACAAATATTATAGCTAAAAGAAAATTTTGATTACACTGGAAAAAAAATGTTTAAAAAATTTTTAATATAGAAAAAAAAAAAAAATTTTTTTTTATATTAAATAAATACCGCCGATTGAAAATATGGATTAACTTTAATTTTGAATATTGCCTACCAGGTTTATTGCCACGTTTATTATTTTATTGCCACGTTTATTATTTTTATTAGCCACGTTTAGAATAGTAATTTAAATTTTTGTTTATTTTTTTTTTAAATTAATTATGCCATCCTTACTTTACTATTTTTAATACCTTTTTAGTATTAATACTTTTTAATCTATTCCTTTATATTTAGTTTTAATTCATTTTAATAATTACTATTTTTCTATACACTATTTTTGAATATTTAATATCAATCTTTGGTCATAATTTTCTATCGCTCAAAATAAAAATGTATCTTTTTATTATTAACTTTTATAACGTTTAAAAAAAAAAATAATACAATGAATAACTAAACCCATATCAGAACCATGCTGTTGTTTCTCCAGTCCTAGGGTATGAAGGGCTCCTCAGAGCCATGCTCGAGCGGAAAGGATCATAGGTTGGGTAGGGCATAAAGCGAACACCACTTCATCTGTGTATCGCAATCTTTTCATTTCTCACCTCTTTCTCTTTCTCTTTCTTCTACTTTCTCTGAAATTGTCCTTCTGTTCTTCAGGTTAACGTTTAGCTCTCTGGAAATTTTCACAGTTTTCCTGTTTGAATTTTTTTTGTCGCAGCACGCTAAATTCTAATCCTAATTAATAATAATGAGTAGTTAGTGTTGGATTCTATACGGAGCAAGACCACCACCCCCAAAGCCGACGAGCTAGAGCCGGAAAATTAAAGCGTGCCCCGCAAGTATAGAAACCAGGATTGATCGCTACTACCGTTACACGTTACATGTAGTTCAAAAGGCTGCCCACGTTGGTGTGGCCGCATGTTTCCGGCTTGTTTGTCCCGGCTGCAGGATGTTGGCTGCTGGCTTTTGGATGTTGGATGCTGGAAGCTGGCTCAACTGCCAGCAAAAGTTGCATTACGCCAGTCGCGAATTTCTGTTTTGGCCAGTCGCCGAAATGTCAACGCTTCTGGGCGAGCGTGAAACTTTTCTCGTCCCGCAAAAAAAAAAAGGATGCAAAAAAAGGATACATGTGAGCGCACAAAGTTGCTGTTGAGACTGCCAGCGGAAGCGGAAACGTTTTGGCAGCGTGTGAAAAGCGGCCCCAAACAAAGTTACGACTGCTGGCCGGCTCGCCCCATGCCAGGCTCATTATGATTCAATTCCCCCGCTGCAGGCGCGTCTTTAATTTCCCACCCGCTCACGGGCAAAAACCAGGCGATGCCCACCGCCCGTTGTGACAAATAACCGAAGATTTTCATGGCATTTGGCTGTGTTTATCTGCTGCATTAGCACACGCACAATGCCGTCGGTCGAGATGGCCGAACTGGCCCACAGATTCCATTGCAGCCGGATTCCGTTGCCACTCCGCGATGGCTCGCATATTCGCGTATCGACGACCGACGGCCTCTTGGCCATCGAGGGTTTAGGGAATCGAGGGAGTCGACAGGGTGGAAGGGAGGTCCAGTTTGGCTGTTTGGTTTGTCGGTCCCTGGCTTCCGCACAACATTTATCAAATTTCGGAGCTCGGGCAACGTTACGCGCCAGTTCAAAGTCCAACATTAAGTTCCAGGTATTTGCAACTTTTCGACAAAGGATTTTTGGCTGCAATCGCGGCCATAAATTACGACTATCCCCGTTTGCTGTGTGTTTCGGTGTGTCTACTTAGCGAATAATTAGCCGCATGAAGTTTGACTGAGGGCGACGACGATGCCGAGGTGGCCAAATTAGTGTTCGAGCGAAAAACGTCTGGGATGATAAATGTGGAAATAATGTTCCTGCTGGGGGATTACCTCTTCTTAGGGCTGTACTTTCTCGAGCACCCATTAAGTTATCCCCGCTCTTTCAACTTTGCCCTCGCAGGCGGGGAAACGAATAAATAAATCAAAAATCGTTAAGTAAATAAATAAAAGATCATTTAAGCAAATACAAATCAGAGAGGAGGACATCGGCAAGAGGAAAACGGAATAAAAAAGGAAAATGTTGCGACCTTTGTTGCGAGTGTATGAGTGTGTGAGTCTGCAAGTGTGTGTGTGTTTGGGGTGTCTGTGGGCTTTCAGCGCTCGGTTGTTTGCACTCGGAGGCATTAAAAAGTTTTTCTTGTGAATAAACGTGAATGAAGTCGTGTGAAATCAATTGTAAACAGGGTATCAGTATCAATGCCAATCCAAACACTCGCACCCCGGGCACATGTGTGTATTGGTGGCAAACAGTGCGCGATAAAGAGGCGATAATCATAATCAGCTTGCCACCCAGGCACACACAGATTTGAGCGCCGCGTGTGTGTTTGGCCAACCGAGAGGAGTGCACCTGCCGCTGCCATGGAATATTTACAGAATTCTGGCCGCAGGTCAGCAGCGCCATGGAATGCAATTGCAATTGCAAGGGGAATCCGGCGGCGAATAAATAAAATGCATGCGACCATTATTTAAAAGACAAAGGCCAGGGCCATTGAAAACAGGGGCAATAGCAGCGGCAGAAGCGGCGGCAGTGGCAGAAAAGATTCACTGCGACACACTAATATTGTAATCATAAATTTTCATAAACAATTTCGCCTGCCTGCAGTCGGACTCCCGCTTCCCGCTTCCTCCGCTCGCTCTTCGGATTCCGGCTCGTGTTTCCCGGAGACCACGACATTTATAATAATTAATTGTGCGCAAATATATGCCCGCAAATGGTCAGCGGAGGCAGGCCAAAGTCAGTTTCAGTTCCACTTCCACTTCCGTCTAATGAAAGCTCCCTGCTCGGGCGCCACTAGCGCAGCCACTGCAAACAGTGAGTTATTTGTGTCGTCCTGGAACACACACACACACACACACGCATACACACTCGCATACTCGCAGAATTTACAGCCCTCGTTTTGGGGTCGCAACCCCAACGACCCGCGGTCAGCAAAGGTGCGACACATAAACTCAAACGGATGGGCAGGCCGAATAAAAAACGTAGCATACTGTTGTGCGTGCGGGGAGTGAGGAGTGCGAGCGGCAAGGAGAGTGCGGCTATCTGCTGTTGGCCATCTTCATTCGGCCCGCCGCGCCAAGCAAAAGCCAACAAATTGCAACATTTATTCTGCAAGATGAATGGTCGCTTGACAATTTATATGTGTGGCCATAATTTTGGCCTGCCTGGGAATGGGAATGGAAACTGGGACCTCGTAGCTCCAAAGCTACGAAGCTACGAAGCTCCGAGCCTCCAGGAACCCAAAGTTCGGGGCAGGGGTTCTCGATCTCTTACGGCCGTCCGCTCATAATGGCCAAAAATTAAAAACAGTAACCACCACAAGACGAAGCGACCGCTGGGGAAATGGCAATGTGTGAAATAAATTGCTAAATAAAATAAACGAGCGAACACACGGCGACAAATGAGCAAACCGCGGGCAGGGAGCCCGGAAAATGGAAATGGAAAATGGAGAATAGACAATGCCCAAGGAGCGACAGCCGAAAATAAATGCAATTAAAAGCGATAAAAATAAGTGAAAGTGACTTTAATGGCTCGGGGCATTTAGAATGCGGGATAAGAGATAAGCCTTAAAAAATGCCTAAAATGATAAATTCAAGATACTTTGCATGCAAAAAGGAACTTTAAATAAAATATTTAAGCTTTCTTTTGCCACTCGTTGATGTGGAAGTTC